TTTTTTTTTTTTTTTTTTTTGTGGGGGCTCCTCTCTCTCCCTTGAGAAAATGGTGTCCAAAGTGATCAGACAATAAAACAAGGCTGCAAACGGCCTTTCTTCTCGAGCCAAGAAAATGTACCATCACTTCACAAACTTTTTTTAGGTATTTGTGAACTCAATTGGAATTTGGAACTGAATGTTACTTGTCTCTGCATTGCCCATTCAGTGATTCGGTAAATACATAAACTCATACACACAAACTAAAAAGAAACTTGTTTTTTTTTCTAAGTACCCAGTTAGGTTATATCTGCATCAAAAGTCTTATGTATGAGTACAATAAGTCTTTTTCACTCGGGGAAGACTATCTAGTTCTTCCACTCAAACCTTGAAAGCAACATGACCACATCCATTATTCAGAAAGAAATTACTGTGAACCAGAAAGACTACTTTGACAGTCACCTTTCGATACCATATCAATAGTTACAATTTTATCGAATCCGATTATCATTTAATGAGATTGATTAGGATCATCCTAAAAATTTTGGCTTTGTGAAGCCCCTTGAGCTTTAATTTTGGCAGATGGTTTATAATTTAATTCGATTAATTTAGTCGCAACTTTTCAAATTTTTTTATATCATAGAATTTCTCTTTGTTTGGTATAGCAAAAATGGTTGAAGGTATAGATATGCACTGTTTGAGCTACAGGTGAATATGACTAGACTAAGTGTTTCCAAATGAAAAGGAGATTCGGATGGGTCACATTCATATTAGAAGAAATTATTCACATTCTTTCTGATGAGTACCCCAGTAAGGTGAGCGAAAGAGATAGACTATTAATATTTATAATTAAGATGGTAAAAAATAATGTGATAATTTATAATTTAACAAAAAAAATATGATACTTAGTAGAATAAAACGCTAAAATATGATTTATACAACTAATTCTAACAAATATAAGATTCAGTTGAGTTGAGTTATAAGTTTTTCGATATTTATTCTGAATTTTTTCTCGTACTTTTTCTTTCTTCTTTTACTTACCAAATTAAACCTCCTCTGACAAAGTGGCACCCGGCCCACCCCTATCAATGTGCTTGTTGCCTTCTAAATTTTGGAGTATGTGTGGATTTTTATTTTTATTTTTATTTTTTTGTTTATTATAGAGGAAAATTTTGAGTGAGTTTAATTGAATTGTACATGCTATGCAATGTACATCACCAATAAAAAATTATACATATCCAATGAATAATTGTCATTTATTATTTTTGTCATATTATTTTTTTGAAAAACTAAACTTGTAAGACCAACGACCTGATTTTGTGATATTCTCTCGTTAAATGTGCATATCACGTAACAGTGTCTTATGATGTGCAAAATCAATACAAATTTTTTTCATATTACAAGTAAGATTTTCTAAATTAACTTCTGCACACTTCAACAAGGAAATTCATGATGGACTTTTGAGCTCTCTAGGTTTTTCCTACAAAAAAGGCTCCCTTACTTATAAAGCTCATAGGTGCCAACCTAATATCATGGACTAGTGCTACTTTATCAAAAAAAAATTGATTGAAGCAATTGAATATTTGCTAAAAAAAAAAATTCTATCTTTGGACTAGTTAAAATGGATTAAACTGAAACCATCACTAATAATAAGGAGACAGTTCAAGGGTGATTGATGAATCTGTAAACATGTGGACAGTATATATAGGTTGAGGGTGTTGGATGAAATCATGCTTGATGCTTTGGTCCAATTATTCAGATACAAGTTATTCTCTAGGGAACAGCAGAGGGTATATTGGTCATTATAAAAGGTGTTGTCAATCAATGAAAAAGGGCGAATGGTGAAGAAACAAAATCATATTATTCCTTCACATTTTTTAACCCCATAGCTTTTTCCTGTCTCCATCTATCATCTCCACCTTACTGTCAACCTCTTCTTATTTCCACAAAAGCCCTAACCAGGTCTCTTGACACTTGCCAATTACCATTACCATCTCTATCTCTCTTTTGCCCTTTCTCTCTGTCTCTCTTAACATAGTGTAGGACTACAGTTGCTTCCCTTTTTCTAGGAAATTATCTGCCAATCTCTTCTAACATTTCCAGAAAACAAAGCTACAAAAGCCAACCAAACATCATAAAACCTTTCAATGTTTTCTAGGATTGATCAAACAAAGCTTCATACAAAGAAAGCAAAAAGAGGTTGAAACCTCTCTCTCTCTCTCTCACACACATATCATCCTACTATCCTCTTCTCCAACTTCATAATCTTGATTGCACTCTCTCTCTCTCTATAAAAAATTGAAACCCCAAGTGAAATCTTTCTACGGTTAAGAATTGTTTGGGTGATTCAACCATGATCTGAGACCATTTCGGCCCATATATCCGACGTTTTCATGCCCTAAAAACAGACTCAGTTGAAGAATAGTGTCATCGTCTTCAGTTATCAAGCCATGGACTCGAACCAAGAAGTGGACTCTTCAAACACAGACAGCACAAGCATAACCATCACCCCCACCACACCCACCACCACCACAATTATGACTTCACCACCATCGTCTTCATCATCATCCCCTTCAACCCTAAGCCGATACGAGAACCAAAAGCGCAGAGACTGGAACACTTTTGGCCAATACCTCAGAAACCACAGGCCACCACTCTCTCTCTCTCGCTGCAGTGGTGCCCATGTCCTTGAATTCCTCCGATACCTCGACCAATTCGGCAAGACCAAAGTCCACACCCAACTTTGCCCCTTCTTTGGCCATCCAAACCCACCGGCGCCATGTCCTTGTCCTCTCCGGCAAGCTTGGGGAAGCCTCGACGCCCTCATCGGCCGCCTTCGCGCTGCCTATGAAGAAAATGGTGGTAAGCCTGAAGCAAACCCATTTGGGGCTCGAGCAGTGAGGCTCTATCTGCGTGAAGTTCGCGATTCGCAGGCGAAAGCGAGGGGGATTAGTTACGAGAAGAAGAAGCGTAAGCGTCCTCCACAGCCACCATCTTTGCCTCCACCAAGTTCAAGCTAGTCTGAGCCAATCTGTGTGAACCACTCTTGCCATGGATGATCAGAATTTGCATGAGATTTGTTATCAAACCTCATAATATTATAGACTCCCTAGTATCAACCTCTCAGGTACTTGATAATCTATGTGGGTATTATGAATATATCCACTATTCTATCTCTAAATGTAAGTTTTTCAGTCATGTTGTTTCTGCAGAAACTATGTTCAGATTTGTCTATTAAAGTACCACTGGTTACCCTTTTTTTCTATGATCCAAATAGTGACAGTTTTAGTGATAGTTGAATAAGCGCTAGCTGTAGTTGAAGATCTCTGAGACTTTAAGTCCAAATTGTCATAGATCTGCAGTTATAAACAGTGTAAGGTTCAGTAATGGAAGTGGTAGTGTGTGACTGTGGAGTCCTAGTTGCAGTTAATAACTAGGGGTCTTGAAAAATACATTTTTCGCATGGATATGCACCTGCAACTGCAAGCCATTTATGACAAGTAATAGATTGCATATCATGTTTCATGTCTTTTTTCTGTTATTTTGCTATACTTTAATAAGTGATGGCAAATCATCCACATAATAAAAAAAAAAAAGAAGGATGAGCACCTTTGTGAAGATCCCATGTCAGCTTTGTCTAGCACTACACTTTGTTCATTTTTGGTACTGCAAGGGGTGGTTTTTTTTTTTGTTTTATATATTTGTATGTGTATTCTGCCTCTTTTGCCTCCTTGTGCTTTTGATTCAGAATAACATTGGCTTTTATTGTGTAGGAAAAACAGAAAAACTCATTCAATGTGTTCTCTAGTGAGTCGATATTTAGATTAGCAACATAATTGCTTGTGCGTCCTAAACTTGAAATTAATTAACTTAGATCAGTCGGGAGAGAAGAGTCTGCATGTGGAATACATAGTTGAAAGCTCCATCATCTTTCATTTGATAATTTCAATCTCTCTCTTGAAGAGTCTAAGGCCTCATTTATTATGCAAATCCATCACCCATTTCTCTGTTGAGTCATATCAGTCCTAGATGTTCCCCAAATAGGTGATAGCATTAAATGAGTAGAGTTCATTCACATGAACACCTTAAACAGTGAAATTTTGTTAGGTGTTCATTAAAGGCTATTCACAATTTGATCCATATTTAGGGAAGAAGACAAACCCCCACCACCATATTTGCATACCTTGCTGGTATGCAAGAAACACATATTATAAATAAAGTATTTCCTTCAAAGGGGTAAGGCCCAAAAAAACAAATCCTGTATATTAGGCATTATACTAATCAACTCTATATCATTAGCTCTGATACTGGATAATACACTTTAGGGAATCTTAACAATTTTTTTTCCTATATTGTAATCTTCAAAACTTGTGCAAAAGCTTAAATAGGAAAGTTCACAGCTCAAAAGTTTAGTTTGTTATTTGATTATTCTTGAGTTGGGTGTATGTGATTTGGGTTGAAACTAACTTCATAGAGCCTATACGCTAGAGAACCGAGGTAAACACTATATGCCAACTACAATCATTTCGGTTTGTGTAGTAAAGTTAGATCGAGATGTTTCTTCTTGAGTTAAGGGACCCATAATTGGAAAAAGAGGATAAACAAAACAATTGAGTAATTATTTTCAATGGATGGCATGATTTTGAATACAAAAATGTTGGCAGTGGGCTTACTTGATCACTAAACAATAATATATGTATCTTTTCACAAGAAGATATAGTATAATTAGGTTAATGACTATATCTTTCATTTGTCGGCCGGGTCCTGTCATTCTGGAGCTTGAAGTTCTTATTTCTAATGAGTCATCCTAGATCTAGTACATTTATTGAATTCATTTTAATTTCTAAATGTTGTATTTCCTTAATGCTAACCTTCTATGAATATTGTCTTTATGGATAATGGGGATATTAGGGAAATTTTGTTTGAGCAATGACTGATTTCTTATGCTTTTCTTGGTGTTATTATGTGTTATTTCACAGAACTCAAGACTTTGACACAATGGATGTGAATTACCTTATCTTGTGACCTCTTATTATTTGGTTAATATGCATTTTTTATGCCATTGTTGTGTCAGACACAATGTAAAATGCACACAGATAGCATTTCTGAGGGCCTCTGTACCTCCATAATGGAATGCTCACTAGGAGTTCTTTTGCTTCTGAGTTGGTATCCAATGCTTCTTTGACCCATTAAAATGGCTTCACTGTTGGAAATTTTGGATACCCAATATAGTTCAAGAAATGTCTGACGATTTTTTGAGGTATACTCACCCAAACAAACTACCCAATGTTTTCTTTTTGGGTAAGTAAAATGATTCTAGTAACAGGAAAATATGTGTAGACTACCCAATGTTGTTGAAAAATGCACTTTCTGAGAGCATCTTCATTGGGCGAAGATGATTGTTTTTTTTTCTTTTCTACCTAGTGCTATAGATTCTGATATGCTACTACCTTCATTAGGGGGAAGCAATGGTTGAAATAACCTACAAATAACAAGTGGTAATGGCATGCCAGATGACTAATTACTTCTATAATTTAATAAGATGCATGTGCATGCTTGATTTATAAATTCTGGTAAGATGAAGAAATTGGAAGCTATCTGTGATAGGAGCTATATTGATTCAATACCTACTGAGAATTAGTGTACAATCCAAGCTATAAAGATTACTTTGCTTTACTCTAATTTTTAGAAGTCAATTCCCTTGTCAATTTAATGGGAGAAGTTGTTCATGGATTAATCTTTTTGCTTTAAGTCATAATCTTCCTATCATCCTCTATACCAGCTACTTAAAGGATGATGATGTGTGTGTGTGTATTTTTGTTTTTCCCATCATCATCGTTTAAGCTTTTTGCTTTAAGTCATATATTTTTGTATTTCACTGAATCATATGCATAATGATTGTGATTGAAACAGAAGAAAGAATTCGAGGAAGATAAAATGCTGCATTAGGCAGTGGCAGAGCCACATTAGGACTATGTCCCCTCCACCCCCTAAATTTTTAAATAATTGTATATCTAAACCTATTTTTTTATTTAAATTTTGTTTAGGTTAAACGAAAACGAGTTTTGTTGCTTTATATCTTGAATTTTAATATATTTTTTCGTATTTGAACTTAAAATTTTGTCAGTGAATTTTGTATAGCTACATTTTGCCCCCCTTTTTTTGGCAAATTTCTAGCTTTGTCCCCCGGCATTAGGTTTCTACATGGATTCATATTAAGTTATAGATGGTTTTCTTGATGATAGAATGTGGACAGTTGAATTCAAACTTGACCAAAAGCTTAAGCTCGAGGTTAGAGAGATTTGTTTCGAACTTTGTATATAGACCTTACCTGATCTTTTTACCATATTGATGTGGGTTTTGTTGTTTGTTAGTTCGGTAGTTCTAAAACTACTCCTCACAAGTAACTTATATTGATGTTTGGGAAGGGATGACACCAGATTTTTTGATACCATCTCTTTTGTCAGATTTAGTTTCTTAATAAAATTTCTATCGTTTCGATTCAAAAAAAAAAAAAAAAAGTAACTTATATTTGTCCCATTAGGTGGAGCACTTGCTAGCTTTGTCCCATTAGGTGGATCATTTTATGTTTACATTTCTTATTTGATGTAGCAATTGCTTGTTACTTCTGTCAGACACGCAGGCTTTTTGATACTATTGTTAGAATATGTAGTTCGATTTAAACATAACCCAAAAGCTTAAACATTTCAAAGGGTCTTCACCATTCTAAAGGTTCTTCGAGGAGAAGGTAAAGAATCATTTGATTTAACATTTACGATCAGCCCCAATAATTAGGGTATGGTCTCCTCAATTTGCCATTTACAAATTCTTTGTTGGTATCCTTTACACTTAATGCCCAAAAATTGCCTTATTTGGCTTGTACCTAGGGTTATTAAATGATTAGAGTGGCTTGAGTTCAGTTCATTTTGGCTCGTTTAAACGCATTAAAATTACAAAATGAATTCGAATATGATTAGATTTTTTAGCTCACTTTGTAAAAGAGTTGAACTTGAGCAATCAATGGCAGCAGCCAGCTCGTCTTTAAATAGTTTCCTGTGTACAACTAATCGTAATTTTGCTGCCAAAAGCTTTAATTGGAAGATAAATAACTATATATTTTTTCCTAAATGGTTATGGATCGTGTACACTTGGCCTGTTTTCTCCTCTGAGTATATTGTGGAAAAATTGGGCGTTTAGAGTTTGATTTTAGGGTTGAGTGAAGAAATTTTGTTAACTTTTTAGAAATTTATTGTTTATTTTTGGGGGTTCAAGAAAAGAGAGAGTGTGACCAATAGATAATAATCTCTTTTGGACATAAACACGAGGGTCATATCCACTGTAGATAAGAGTGTTAATCGAGATGAGCTATTCGAGTTCGGTTTAGAAAATACTAAGTTCGAGTTCGACTTTTGTTTTAAACGAGTTGAACTTGAATAATTTTTTTGGCTCGGATCGTTTATATATAAAATAGTCGAGCTACTCAAGTTCGACTAATTTTTTGAATAAGTCGAACTTGAAATTTTTTTTAGACTCATTTAGAAAAATAAGTTCGACGGGTTTGGATTCAAGTTCATAAAATTTGGTTCGATTAACACCTTTAACTGTAGAATGTTCGGTTTAAGTCATATCTACTAATTCGGAAGAGTAGGTCATCACCACAACACCACCAAAGTCAAACTGCAAATCGCGTTATTCTCGTAAATCGAACTCTACTTGATAATTACAAGAACATCAAGAACGACTTTAAATGGCTATGACTTACCACTATTCGTGTGATTTAGAATTGATCATTAAGTTTTAGAATTCCATTTTTAGAAGTTTTTGCTAAGAAATTAAGTAAAATTTTAACTTGATTTCTGCTTGAATACTATTAGACTTCAGTCGTGCTAATCTTGAACAAAAATCTAAACTTGCCAATTGAGCTCGACCNTCAAAAAAAAAAAAAAAAAGTAACTTATATTTGTCCCATTAGGTGGAGCACTTGCTAGCTTTGTCCCATTAGGTGGATCATTTTATGTTT